TAATATGATTTTGTAGTTTTCTAAAAACATTTGCCAATTGATTTATAGTAATGCCTGAAATCATGTTAATTATTTTAGCTTTCAAGTCTTCTAACGATTGAGGTTTGGTTGCATACACTATTGTTTTCACATGTCCCCATAAAAAAACGAATGGAGTCAAGTCTGGTGAATGTGGAGGCCAGGAAAATGGTCCACCTCTTTCGATCCATTGTTAAATAATTTTACTTAAAACTAGGTACATTAAGCTTTCTAATACTTTTTGTAGATTTTTTCTATTACAAATACTAATAAAGTTATAAATTTTTTAAATTGCACAGACTTTATGGACACCCTGTATATTGTACCTCTTGCTTCTTATACATTTGCATATTTATCTGATTGGACTATTTGGATTAGCATATTAATTTGTATTGTATATAAATAATATAGCATTTAAGTGCTGGGTTGTCCATAAATGATGTCATGCTTCATGGGGAAAGTAGTTCAGAATGTGACAAAATACAAGGGGAAAGATAGGAGAATGATCCTCGTGATGTCATGTCTCACATTTACCATTAATCAGTATAATATATGCTTTTTTTAATGCAATATGTCATATTTAAGATATATTCTTTGAAAATTTAGTTAATGTGCTTAAATTTATATAAGAACACTAAAGATATAAAAAAGTAAATGTGTATTATACAATTACTTGGGTATTTCTGATAATACATTATAATCTGTTAAAGCCACAGTAAAGTGATTCATACAACTTTTGTGACTATAATAATGGGAAATTTACCTCGTCACATTCTCAATATCTGTATGGTACAAATGACTCCTTGTGTTTATATACAAGTCTGAAATCAAATGAATTTTAGGATAAGTACTGTCATGAAATTGCTGTGCTGTTGATATAAAGTTATATGTCATCTTTATCTCTAAGATCTGTTGAGATAAATGAGGTAATTTTATGTATATGTAATGCTTCAATATTTGTCAGGATATGGGACTGAGACCAAAAACAAGGTACAAGTTAAATAGTTATTTACTGTTAAAACAAACAGCATATCAGATCACGGTTAAATGAAAAGGGCTTATCACATCAGGATGACTCAATTATTCAAATATAACTTTTATTAATATGGGAATGCATTTTGGGTACACAGACTTCTCATCAGCCCATTTAAAGATTAGACATATGGTAGTAAACACAATAAATATCTAAAATATTGTAACAAAACATAGTTTACAGACTGATATTATAAATAACACTGTGCACTGTGTACACAATTATATAAAATACTAAATTAAAATTGTACAATATAATAATAAAAACAATCAATTGTTATACTAACTTTTTGTCAATTCCAGACTAACTGGTCTGGAACTGACAAATTAAACTGTTGTCTTCATAAAACATAATATTGGTTCTGTTAATAATAAGTTATTAGTTACATTTATGACTTAATTTTAATAAATTAAAAAAATTTAAAAATTTTTGGTAACTTACTTTACTCATTTTAATTTTTCTGTTAGTTATCGCTATAACATACAAATAACACCTTATCCTTGCCGAGAAAATATTTATTTCATAAAAACAAACGTTTTCAGCCTGATTCACAGGCCATCATCAGGTTGTGAATGAAATTAGAACTAAAGCATTCCAAAATAGAATATAAATTAAAAAAATTAAATAACTAACAAAATAACATAAAATAAAATAAATTAAAACAAAACAAAAATTCATCATATGAAAAATATAAAATAAGAATATAAGATTGTTTACTAACAATATATCTAATAAAATTAAATTAATAATTTAATTAGTTGGAGTTCTTAGTAAATTTTTTAATCATAAACTTCCATGAAGAGGGAAGACTTTCTGCATCCCTTGCATTCAAACATTCTTCATGTAGTTTACTCTTATAAATTTGGATCTTTTTCGCCGTCACCGCCAAAGATGGGGAATATACAGGTTTGATGATGGCTGCATCATTCCATTTGACTACAGTCTTGCGTCTGTGCCATTTGTGACAGAATTGTTGCATTGGGCTCTTTTCTTATATTATATTTGTCCTTTGAGTCTAATTACCAAACTTCTCGTGGTTACTTCGATATAATCTTTTTTAATATCCAATTGCTTATTTTCGTATGGAATTCTGTAAACTCCCGGTTTTTCTTCTGATTTTCGTATGGAATTCTGCTATCTTTATCATTTCTGAGGATTTTATATAAATTTGGGGCTCTTTTTATAAGCATTCTGGAACCTTTCTTGTCTGCAACTTCCTTCATAACATTATTCATATTTTCATTATAGGTAAATTTCACGACTCCAGTCGGGACACTTTTGCATGACCTTTTTTTGTTGTTCACTTCATATTTATTTACCATTCCTAAGATTGTGCTTTTTCGGTAACCTAGGGTTACCGAAAAACCACAATCTTGGGAACAAGCACAATCTTTATGAAATAAAAACAAACGTTTTTATTTCATAAAAATGTTTATTTTTATGAAATAAATATTTTCTTGGCAAGGATAAGGTGTTATTTGTATGTTATGTTCTGTGGTTTGCTGAGTACTTTCTACTATGTTGAAATAAGTAAGCTTCAATTCATATTAACCTATTATGTTATATTATCATCATTAATAAAAATATATCAAAAATGAATTACAAATCATTAAATTATAATGTACATATTTATTTACCTGTTTTACATTATGTTGTTTAGACTATGTCATAATTTTATAATATTAATAGAACATTTAGACTATACTGCAAACTCGATACTGATGATTTACTTTAATCTTGATCTCAAGCATTTTGATATAATCTCATTCCTCAAACTCACATTGTTATTAATTCTTTTTCTGTTATTGTTATAATTTCTATATGTTCTTGAAGTTTCATTTTTATATGGTTATTTTCAGTTATAATATATTTTATACTGTTTTTCACAATTTCACAACCTTATGACAAGATTAAATTATTCTTAATGGCATTTATATGTTCTTGAATTCTTGTGTTCAATTTTCTTCCAGTTTCACCAATATATCTTTACTCATCTAAACAACTACAATCAAAAAAATATACAATATTATCCTTTTTTAAATCATTATAATCTTTTTAATCAGTTTTCCTATTGTTTTTGTATGATCTGTCATGACAATAATAATTACATTTTTTAGCTCTTTTTTTAGCTTTTTCAAATAAACCACAGATGTATTCTATTTTAAGATAATTTATTTTAGTATCGTTCTATTGCTTTCTGTTTATTTTATTTTCTATTAGTTTAGTCAGTTATTTACTGTGTTAATAAAGACACCACTCACAAACACCAACTGGACTTGGTATTGCAAGTGTCTTTATTACTTTTAACCAGTTAGTGTATCAGTGGATGTTACTGTGTTAGACTTGTAAAAAAAAGGAAATATAGAGATGTCTCATCATTCGATGATAATTTATAAATCTGTAAACTGTAATTTCTCATGGAATGGGTGAAACTAGTTTTGAATTTGTTTGGAATACTTTATTTCAGAAAGTAATGCAGAAGATGTATATTGATGATGTAAACACGATAAAACAAAGTGTTTCCATGGAAATGAAAAACTTGCTGGCAAAGTGTAGTGAAAATAAAATTTTGATTGATGTAATGCTATTGTCATGTAGTGCTTTATTTTGATAAAAATGTAAATAAGTAATTTTATGTTAATATCCATTATATAATTGACACAGTAGACTATATTTATATGGTAATAATGTAAAGGGTTTATCGGGGGTGACAACCAATATGACATTATTTGTAAGATGGGCTTTGTCACAGTGATGTGTTATAGCTTCATGGGGCCTAGGCAAATTTGGATTAGGGAGCCCCACATATAGTGTTGAATTCAGGCATTTTTCTTTGAGAGAATTTTTGGGAGAAATATATTCTTATAAAACATTGATTTGGTGCCCACTGCTTGTGGGGTCCTAGGCAATTACCTTTTTTTCTCATAGGATAATATGACACTGCTTTGTCATAATGTAAAAATGAGTGATATGAGAAATATGAGAAGGATGGGGTTAAAGATGTGAAATTTTAACTTGACGTCATTCACGGATGGCCCTTGCTATATTAAAAATATTCTATGTTGAAAGTTATCTTATATAATCTTGAGAAAGAAAAACAAATATATTTTAAGAAAATTAACTTTCATTAATTTAATTTGTTTCTATCTCATATGATATTATTATTGCTCATTAAAGTTGTTCATAATTACATAGAAACTTTTTATATTGGAATAATTAATCCAAAATATTAAATAAAATAACTTTGACAACTTTACAAAGACTTATATTAATGCTAGAAATGTTAATGTGAAATTTGCAGATGGAATGTTGCTTGTTCTATATAGATAAATGTTATTCCTTATTACAAATATAATTAGAAATGTCAAATAAAATCATATTGCAGATTTATCAAAACAAATGCTTATTATGAAATTAAAATAATAAAATTATTCAAATGTTTTCTATGCATTACTACTTTTTCTGTTATAATTACTTTTTTAGCATTACTTTGTAATCTATCTAATACTTGAGACACAGTAATTGCAATCTATGAAATTAATAAAATTTTAATTACATTATTTAAATGATCATTTTAGGAGTTAGAAACTATAATTCAAAAGAATCAGAAACTAATAATTTATTTTAATTAGAATTTTCAAATTATTTGAACACATCTATTGAATAAATCAATGATAAGATATTATTTAGCAATAAAACACTTAAAAAAATTATAATGGTAAGATGATATATTTTTCTTTCTGATTGAAAATAATGAAGAAATCAAACACTAACATGATAAATAACAAAGTTTAATAAGGAAATTATTTCTTTAATTGACTACATAAAATTGTTATTCACAACAATTTGTCATTTATAAAAATTATCATATACACATTTATAAATGAAGTATAGTTTAGAATATAAATTATTTACTGAGAATAAAAATGTTTACTCATTTTAATTACAGGATTAGGATGTTTAGTGATTTTGCTTGCTTCAGGTGTCACAATTTTAACTACACTTTCAATGTCTGCAATATGTACGAATGGAGAAGTAAAAGGAGGTAATTAATATATTTTGTTTAATAAATATTTATAAATATAACAATTTTTAAATATAATTATTTTAACATAAATATAAAATAAAATAGTCAGTTATATTTGACTAAAGAACTAAATTTTTAAATATATATAATTAATAAATTGTTAATTTATACTATAAATTTATTTTTATTTTTATTTAATATTAGAAACTTAGTAGTTTTAATATTTCTGTTATATTTTACATTTTACTTTCAAATGTTCGAAAAGATGTCCAAAACAAAAAAAAAAAATGTTTATTTTAATAAACCTACAGTTGTAATCTGTATTAAATTATGGCATTTACTGCTACTAATGATATATTTTACAGGAGGAACATATTATATGATTTCCCGAAGCTTAGGTCCTGAATTTGGAGGTGCTATTGGTTTAATATTTTCTTTAGCCAATGCAATAGCTATTGCAATGTATGTTGTTGGTTTTGCAGAAACTTTGAGAGACCTTCTCACAGTAAGTTTATAATTTTATTTTAATTTTATTTANTTTGTATATTATTACTCTCCTGGCTGTTGTATACTATAACATAGGAAAAATGTGATGATCAGTCAAATTTTGACTCCCTAGTTTTTTTTGCATTTCTTGATATTTTGACACTTGAGGAACCCAAAAATGTAAAAAAAAACCCTTACAAAATTGTATGTGTGTCTGTATGTATTTTGCATTATATCTCAGGACTGGCTGAACCTAAACTTTTAAAATTTGGCAGGATTATTTCTATGTATGGAACATTGATGCTATTAAATTATGGTGATTTATTAATGATCAAGGGGGTGTGGAAATAGAAGGTATCATATCTCAAGAGGAAAACTTAATAAAAATTTTACTCATTATTCCTGGTTTCCTTAATTAACCTCCTGTTCAAATGCTGGGAAAATTGAGCAAGAGCTTTTGCCAGCTTTTGTAGATAAAGATAGACATGTACCACTTTGTTTTGTGTAATAGATGACTTCATCATTTTATGTGAAATTGTAATAACCATACATGTTAAATCGTTTTATTTAACATTTATATCATATTTTCAATAAAATATATCATAAATATCATATGTTTCTAATACTTCTAGCCTTCTACATAAAAATAAACTATGTTTTATCATATATAACTTTTGTTGTATTTTAAAAATATTTAAAAATCAAAACATATTAAACTTACCTGCTAATACAACAAATATTTTTACAAAATAAAGCCAAAAAATGATATGGCATATCATGGGTTGCTCTGAAAAATTTTAAGAAATCACCAACCATTTCGCTAGTTTAAAACTTTTTTTGCCACTTCAAATTATTTATCACCACCTGTTTTACTTATTAATTAATGCAGGTGCTGGTAACTTTATCAGTTTGGAATTTGAAAAGCAAAAGTAACATACTAAGCTGTCACTTAGAAATAGGAATCATTTTTGAATAATTTTTTAATGAATAATTCCAAATAATGCATTTGATGACAATGCTCAAACAGTATTTCACAGGTTCTGTCATATCAAAATTTATTCTACTCAAAATAGAACATTTATTGCAGTACCACTTTGCTTTTTACACTTTTTAATATGAATAATAAAATTATTATTGGAAATAAGGTGATTTCTTGGGGTTTGTAAAGGTAATTTATGGTTTGGTGTAAATAATTTTAGTAAAATTTTTATTCACTTTATCGCATGAAAATTAACATTGTGACAATGGTGTTTTGCCAGGGTAATGACAAAATTCACTTTATCAGTGTTCATTTTATGGCAAGTCAACTGTATAACTTTTAACAGTTGCAAAACAAGAAGTTTACTGAAAAATAAAATTACTACATTATAACTCTATACTATTTTAGCTTTATATGATTACCATTATATTTTACCTCATATTCATCATTATGTTTCATATCAAATTATTAGCTAATAAATGATGTTTTCTAAAAACTTTTTATATCTAAATGTTTATGAAGAAAAATTAGTTAAATTATCTTTACAACACTCTACATAAAGTTGTTTTTAATTTAGACTATAAATTCTACATTTAGTTTTGATTTCTACATTTATAAAATGTTTAGAATTCTTAAATACTTAATTAAATGCTATAAAAAATTTTACAAATTTATTTTTAAAGAATTATATCTTAAATTATCAATCATCAATTATGATGTGTGATTGTTTAAAATGCAAATGAAGTTTAAACTTCTCATTGATGAAAATTTTTATACAAGTTGTAATGTTCAAATTTATAATTTTTTTTGTAATCATTTTGCATAAAATAATGTTTTATTTTCCTATTAAAAGTATTTTGAAATGTTTACTAAAAGTCTCAAATTGTTTTTATTTTTAGGCTCAAGTTGTTCTGTTGATAATACTTTTAGTTTCAATGTTTGACTTTGTAATTGGCTCTTTCATCCCACCGAACACAGCACAGAAAGCTCAAGGATATGTTGGCTGGAGTTGTATGTAGTATATTTATCTATATATTAAAACATTATAAATAGATTTAATAAATAAATGTATGATAATTAACTAATACTAAAATCATATTAAAAATATTAAAATATTTTTAAATGCTGCAAGTTTTTTAAAACTAATAGAATCTGTAGCAGAGTATTTATTATCTCTATTTCAATGAATGTTCCACTTACACTTACTGAACTGGAGTGTAAGTACACAGCACAAAAACATCTTAAAGAACCATAGATAACTCCAGTAACTAATCATGGATGGTAGGACAAACATTTTCAATTTTATCCATGAATCTTCTTCAGGTGAAAGGTTTTGAATAGTGTTTAAATTGATGCATCAATGTTAGTTAGTCCTAGCATTCATGATTATCTACTGGAATTATTTGTGGTTCTTTAAGGTTGCTTTTTGTGCTGTGTATTTCAATGAAATAGTAACCAAAAAATGAAAACTTATTCTTATTACATAAAGAAACTGAATAAAAATAAACATGTAATGGCTAATGTGAAGACAAAGATTAAAATTATTGTTTGGAACAATGAAATTATTATGCACAAAATTATTTTACTAATCTACATTTTTTTTCTTTTTATTCATTTTGTATATTATTACTCTCCTGGCTGTTGTATACTATAACATAGGAAAAATGTGATGATCAGTCAAATTTTGACTCCCTAGTTTTTTTTGCATTTCTTGATATTTTGACACTTGAGGAACCCAAAAATGTAAAAAAAAACCCTTACAAAATTGTATGTGTGTCTGTATGTATTTTGCATTATATCTCAGGACTGGCTGAACCTAAACTTTTAAAATTTGGCAGGATTATTTCTATGTATGGAACATTGATGCTATTAAATTATGGTGATTTATTAATGATCAAGGGGGTGTGGAAATAGAAGGTATCATATCTCAAGAGGAAAACTTAATAAAAATTTTACTCATTATTCCTGGTTTCCTTAATTAACCTCCTGTTCAAATGCTGGGAAAATTGAGCAAGAGCTTTTGCCAGCTTTTGTAGATAAAGATAGACATGTACCACAATTACTGATGGAACTTATTTAATTATGATTTGTAGTTTATAAAAAATATAAAAATTATTATTAATTTATTTTTATTTCTTTCAACTCAATTATTTCCTTATTTAATCTTATCCTCAATTCATTATAGGAAATTTTATTAAAATATAAGTTTTTCAGCAATTATAATTATTTTAATTACTGAAAAATTTGTATTTTTAACTGGTTTGAAATATGATTATGTGAATAATCATTTCATAAATTCTAGTATTCAATTTTGCTTGGATATTCATTATAGTTTACTTTAATTATATTCTTTAAAATTAATGATTAAACTTATTATAATTTAATTCAGATTTATAATTTTTATTAAACAATATTATGCATACAAGCTGTACAATATATTATACACTAGATAAACTGATTAAAATTGATTTTGAACAGTTTGAATCAAAAACATAAAGTCTATCTATGACTCAGATCATTTCAGTTCTGTGCAGATACTTATATCATATTGTGTTATCTTGCATTTATCTATTTTTTTAAGTATAACTTTAGTCTAGGTGAATGAATATTTCTTTCATAAAATTGAAAAATTATGCAATAGTGAAAGAAATACTTATGGAAAAGTTTCTAGACATTCCACTCATTATATGCTTTACAAATTAAATAAGAGATTTGAAAAATGACTTACTAAGATTAGAATGACTAAAAACTGAAGCAACAGAAGATTTGTAGCAATTGTTAGAAGTATAAACTGTAAATTGTATATTGATTATGGAGATCTCATCTTGAATGATTTTCCTAAATTTTGTTAGTAGAAACTGGAAAAATGAAAGCTCATTAATTTTAAAATGGTTACTAAAGCCAACCACTGTCATATATAATAGGTATTAATAATAATAATAATAATAATAATAATAATAACTCTCCCGTGGTCACCACCTGGTCGTGGTGGGAGAGCTCAGTAATTTTACTGAACCATAGGGCAATGCAGGCTGGAGCACAAGCTCCTGGTAGGGACACCCATGCCAGTAAGGTCTATGGGGAGAAATGAAGCTAAGAGTGACCACACACCCACATTCTGTGGAGATA